CCTTTGTATGAAATGCATCTCTGCTGGATGAATCAGGTAAGAACAACTTATTGCATTTCCCCATTCCTGTGATGAGGCACCAGTGAACAGGCGGGATTCTCTTTGTAAGACTCATGGACAGGACAAAATTCCACAAGCAAAAAGTATGAGATGCAGATGCTAAAAATAATGCAGAGATATTTATATCTATGACTATACGCATCTTCCTACTAACTCATACCTTTCAATTCCTTGTGAGCTTACACCTTGGTTTTCATAACACATTTCAACTGCAAGGCCTTTGACAGCTTCCTCATATGAAGGGAATTTTATGCCTAGCACAACAAGAAGGGGATGCTTAGAGAATCTAAGTGATGCTTTAATGTAAAGAACATTAATGTTGGGTCTGATGAGTTTGGAAAATGCACAGATCAGCCAACAGAAAAGATAATTGGTTAAAATAATTTCTTTCCTGTTGTGGTTTCAACTTCTATGTGGAACGGTTGTGCCCTTTGCATATTCTGAAAACAAACTGAAGTATACTCGAAAAGACCTTGTGAGTCTTAAGACCAAATCTGCAACAGAAATGATATCATATTCACTGGGAGGGGAGGAGGGGAGAAGATATCTGTAAGGGCTTGGTTTCTTAGCTTTTAAAGAGACTGTCATGATTATGGCCCGAGAGAAAACAGCCCTGTACCTTTTGTTAAAAGTTTGCCTCTGAAAGTTCTGCCTGGTTATTCGGGTGCCTTCCCTAAGCTGCCCCAGGAAACGTCCTGTAAACACACAGGTTACAAAAGACTCTCTCAGGACAACAAATATCCATTCCGAGTGGGCCAACAGGAAGATGAAGATGTGAAGGTCTAGATCTCACGCATGGTACGGGCAAGACAGCTACATTGCTGAAACCACAAGAATGAGAGAAGACCTTATCACCCCAGCAGAAAGACAGTAATACAACTTTACTTTTCAGCACAGTTCTGTAAACCGGATGCTTTTAAGCCCCTAATTTCCTCTGGATAATCATGGAGCAGCTGTAGCTAAACAAGGTGTCTCATTATAGAAGCTTGTTTTAAGAAATTGCACTAATTATGTTTAAGATGCAGCCCAGAACTCAAGGTTTGTGTTTTGACACTTGAAAGCAAGCAAATTGGGATCTGATTACATACACTGTATCACAGGACTGACCTATTCAAACTACATCGCCCTGATTGAAAAGCAGATATACTCCAAGCAGAGAATTTTTCATGAAGGGTTCAGCACTCAAAAAATCTCTGATTTTGGTTGATTAGAATCTAGAGCTCTTCATCTTTGTGGCAGACTGGAAAGCTCACCTCCACTGGAAAACCATAGCAAACCTTTACAGACAGCTCTACAGGAACCCCAAAAGACATTCTGCACTCAAAAGAAGTTCAAATCTTTTCCTTTGGGTACTGGTGATGAGCACACAAAACTGAAAACTCAGATATTTCATCATGTCACCAAGTGAGCCACGTTATCAGTAAACGAGAAAAATCTTAAAAGAGTACGAAAATCCCCATACACCAAAGTTTATATCTCTTTTACTAAGAGCTTGTTGCTCAGACCAGAAATAGATTTTCAAAGGAGCTACAAAATCTTGGTCATTTCAGGAAAGAGAAAACCCAGCTGCCCACTAATGCTCAATTTTGATGTTTGTAAATACAAGGAAAAGAAAGAAAGGTCAATCTAGAGAACGCATTCAGGGATAAATTATGCTGCAGTTTTTCAGTCAAGAAGCAACAGGGAATTCAGAACCAAAGTTTATATCTCTTCTACTAAGAGCTTGTTGCTCAGACCAGAAATAGATTTTCAAAGGAGCTACAAAATCTTGGTCATTTCAGGAAAGAGAAAACCCAGCTGCCCACTAATGCTCAATTTTGATGTTTGTAAATACAAGGAAAAGAAAGAAAGGTCAATCTAGAGAACGCATTCAGGGATAAATTATGCTGCAGTTTTTCAGTCAAGAAGCAACAGGGAATTCAGAGAAATGACAGAGATATACCCAAAGCTAAAGCTGGCCTTGTAAACAGGGGACATCACCAAGTGAGCCATGTGATCAGTAAATGAGAAAAATCTTAAGAGTACGAAAATCCCCATACACCAAAGTTTATATCTCTTCTACTAAGAGCTTGTTGCTCAGACCAGAAATAGATTTTCAAAGGAGCTACAAAATCTTGGTCATTTCAGGAAAGAGAAAACCCAGCTGCCCACTAATGCTCAATTTTGATGTTTGTAAATACAAGGAAAAGAAAGAAAGGTCAATCTAGAGAACGCATTCAGGGATAAATTATGCTGCAGTTTTTCAGTCAAGAAGCAACAGGGAATTCAGTGAAATGGCAGAGATATACCCAAAGCTAAAGCTGGCCTTGTAAACAGGGAAAAAAAATAGAGCCATTTGCAAAGATATTCTGAACAACGTTATTCAATATAAGCTCAAAGAAATAAAAGCTACAATACCATTCAGTATACACTACTGAGTGTGTTAAACACAGCAACGCAACACTTGCTATAACAATTGTAAGCAAAAGAAAAGTACTATTTATGTTCATATTTAAGATGCTTTTCACATACATTTTTCATATTCTGAACAACGTTATTCAATATAAGCTCAAAGAAATAAAAGCTACAATACCATTCAGTATACACTACTGAGTGTGTTAAACACAGCAACACAATACTTGCTATAACAACTGTAAGCAAAAGAAAAGTACTATTTTTGTTCGTATTTAAGATGCTTTTCACATACATTTTTCATTACATTTTGGTCAGTGCTCTAGCATGACTCTGATCAGACCTCTGCCACACAAAATATGAAGTACATTGTTTAGATTTTGCCTTTTAAACATATATGAAAGGATCAACTGATCTTCCATGCTTTACCACAGTCTGACACTTTTTAGCAGGACTGTAGGCTCTGTATCACTTCAAAGTTATAATTTTCTACCTGTGTGAAAACTCAAAATACAGCAAACAGAAACAAAATAAGTTGAGGACATAAGGAAAAAAAAACCACAAACAGTTTGCTACCACGTACTTGTTCTGAAATAACACAGTTTGCTACCACGTACTTGTTCTGAAATAGAATTTCAATTTTCTGAAATGCGATTTTTATTATTTGAAAGACTTCTTGTTCACTTGCACTAAGTATCTTGAAAAAATATGTATTTCTAAAAATTATCACTGTGATACTCACATAATAGTAAGTTTAGTAAGTGAAAGACAATCTATTCAATAACTGGGATGACAGACGAAAGAAAAAAAGTCAAGTTTCAGAGTTCTCTTCCAAACTATAGTACAAATGAGCTGTGGAAGCAACTATAAAAGCAGCACAATAGCAACAGTGAGGGTTAATTCAAGTTTCTGAAGAGCTTTGCAGCCTAAGTATAGCTTATGTTAGTAAAAGCAAAAAATAAACTCTAGAAAGCATAATATACTTATGGTTACAATCAGAATTATAACCATGCTAGCTGATGGAATGTTAACAGATGAGCCATAAACACACACACAACTCCACCCTAATCACTGGTTTATGAACAAGAAAATTCAGATTAAAATTGTTTGCAATATTGAGGTAGTATTTCTAATATCTGCTACAGAAACAGAGGAACCATAGTTTACATAGGAATTTAAAAAAAATAGTTATTTACATATTGACTAATCTAGATTAAACCAGAAGATAGCTAAAACAATCTCTCTCCTCGAATTTTGTATGTCTAGAGAGCTGTCTATAAAAAAAGAAACAAAGGATATTCAACGTATGCCTTTCTTTTCATTTTGACTGTGGAAAAACAAAGGCAAAAGGAGATAAAAGAATGCAAGTTTCATTTACTCAGCCAAATGCAGTCCGGTGAAGATAAAATGTTTTGTTTAGTCAGGTTTTTGGTTTTGCTTATACAAACTTCAGACACTTCAGATCTGTTTTGTACTTTCAACATACCAAAGTTCAAAAAGGGCTGCACCAAAAGGTCACATTACAGAAACACAGCAGAATGTAACTGCTTATGCAGTGGGTGCCTGGTTAGGTTGGGTAATGCAGAGATGGTTACATCAAGTTTCCCTCACTTTCTCTAAAAAAATGAGATGCTAAAGAACCTGAGTGAGGTTTAAATGCAGTTCTCCCAGACAGATGCCAGGAACTGTTTCTCTCAGGATTGAAAGGACTCTGGTCAGAAATTAAGAAATCCAGGCTCTGTTTAGCTAGTTGCAAGCATGACTACTTGATGAGAAGTGCCAAAACTATGAAACAAATAATAAATTTTTTTAAAATTAAATATATACCCAAGTCTCCATAAATTAGGATGGCCTCCATCAAGAAAACAAAATGATCCACTAGGAAAGAACACAATTTTCTTTGTTTACTGGAAGAGTTTCCCATACTAGCCAAAAGTAAGATAGAACTTGCAGTCTTCTTTTTTTTTTTTTTCCTGTGCTTGTTTATATGAAGAAGTTCATGTTATTTTAAGGTATTACAACCCTATGAGTTCCTATGCAGCCTATGAGTTCCACTAGGGAGATGTTGTCTTACTGAGCAACAGTGATTTCTAGCAAAATCAATATAAAATGACAAATATGTAGAACTCCCAGATCTTCATGATCATTTAGATTGTTCTTGTAGACTCACAAAACAAAAATATCAAAATTCAGAGGCAAAAGGTTTAAGTTTAAAACTGGTATGGAAGTCAGATAACCCTTAAAAAAAAACAAACCAAAAATGATTTCTCTGTCAGGTGAAAACCAATCAAGTCATCACGCTAGCTTTAAAGTCATCCAATTTCAGCAAACACCTTTGATCTATTTCAGTGTCCTGTTACCAATCAACTGGAGATGAAGAAATATGCAAAATGCAGAAATGACAATGAACAACAGAACCTTGTCCTGCCCAGACATAGACACATTACAGACCACAGCAGGTCATGGGAAAAGTCAAGTCAGTTCTTGATCTCATAATACACAAAAATCACAAATTCCAAGAGCAAAAAAACCTAATGTTTTCTGCTTACCTGATACGGAACAATACTCCCATGAGCTGTACCCCAGCGCTTTGCTTCAATTTTGAAATTCAGGTAATTAGCTGCTACATGAGTGAGACATGCAACCTGGAAATGGAGAAAAGGTAAAGTGTTCAGGAAAGCTGAAACTTCACTGACAACTTCTCTGAGATTTCTGTATGTTTCTATGTGCTTCAGATACGTGAGTTAAAATATTTACGTCACAAAAGTAGCTTTTACATATTAAGTATAATATACACTTTTTAATACAAAAAAATTCAGGTTATATCTATATGATGGAAGTGTTTGTATAAAACTCGATGAACTCAAAAACTAATACATGTCCTATAACACTAGTAATACGAGACAATTGTAGCATTAAACTACCCTAAGAGATAAGACAGTATTACTCTATTTCATAGAATGGTCAACTGCAGCAAATTAAAAAACCCAAAACACCAGTGTCTTGTCCAAAGTCTGGTTTTGTATAATTACAACTCAATGAACTCAAAAACTAATACATGTCCTATAACACTAGTAATACGAGACAATTGTAGCATTAAACTACCCTAAGAGATAAGACAGTATTACTCTATTTTGCAGAATGGTCAACTGCAGCAAAGAAAAAAAAAAAAAAACCAAAACACCAGTGTCTTGTCCAAAGTCTGGTGGGAAGCATGATGGATTTGTGGGACAGACCTCACCATTTCCTGAACCTCAATCCTATGCTTAAATCACAAAGGCTTTTTCTCAGTTAGAAGATTATCTTTCTGTTTTCTCCTATGCTTCTCATTTTACATGCTTAAGCTATGGAAAATACTTCTGAATTCTTCAGCTCCCCACATGCTCTGTAATATTAATTAAGTGGTAGGCTTTGATAAATCATCTGCCATTAGAAGATAAGGAGAGATTTATCAAGTTATTAGTCAGACAGACAAAACTGGAAAAAGATTAATTTTGTGGGGAACCTGCCATGCTAATTTAGAAACCAAATTTTGAGGGGACAAACGTATATTTTGTAAGCACAAATATATCTAAGGAAAAAGAAGTGAACATTTATGCTGCAGTAATGCATGCAGATCAGTGGTTCTGTTATAATCAATGGCAGATTCTTTATTCTAATTTCTTTGAGAGAATACAGCGTGTGGCTATATACCTACAGTCAATAACACAATAAGGCATTGCATTTAACATGCAAAGTGATCACAAATTCCCCAGACACAAATGTATTTGTTTTATGCTGTTAACTAGTTGTGCCAGCAAGTGCAACTGCTGGCCTAAACAATAGGTCACAGGAATATTTTTTTCCAAAAATATTATTTTCTTCATATTTCTCCCCTAGATGGAAGAAATTTACTATGATGATCTAAGTGTTTACACTATTCCATACCTACTAATCTGTCTAATCTACACCAAAACATGCAGTAATTAATTCAGAGTCAACCATCCACATTCCAATACATGAATTTAATCAGAATTTCTAGAAAAAATATTGTCATTTCTTTTTCTTTTCCTTTCTCCATATATGCTGAAAAGGCAATGGGAATGTGTCACTCTAACATTTAAAGCAAATATTTAACTGCAAATCGTGGATCCAGTGATGTAGTCCAGCAGAAAACCTAGGAAAATATACAGCAAATAAGAATTTAACTGCTACCAAAAACTATGTCCACGTATACTCTCTACAAATACAATGCCTTATTCCTGAGTAATGTTGGAAAACTCTTTGTAGCTGGATTTCAGCAGCAGCTTATTCTATCGCAGTGTCACTTCATTCAGCTAAAACGTTGAACAATGTCTAGTCTGTCCTTCAGGCCCCAGGAAAATCTCCGCAATTAAGGAAACGGATCTGGGACGTACGTAGAAAGGACTTTTTCTTACGGATTACAACTTTCCTCAGCAACACAGAATGAAACACACAGTTATTACAGAGGGAGTTTAATGAGTCACAGAAGTGTGTTATTTATTAGTAACAGATACCCTAGACTCATCATTCCCGTCGTTTTTCACTTTGGGATCACACTCCATACTCATATTTTTCCTACCACAGCAAACGGTGCCCTGGTTTGAGGTAGAACAAAACCAATTTTCTTTTCAGTTATTTTACATTTCGCTGTCGTGGTTTAGGCTGGGCTAAACAAGCGACAAACGGCTTGTGATGATCATGAAATATTAATCATTGGATATTCTTCTGTATGGCTGGTGTGTAACAAACATGACACAGCTGCTGTATTCCACAGAAATTTCACTGACCGGTAAGAACATTCATTACAATGGGCTTTTAATTACATAAGGATGCCCTCTGTGATACGTGCATTTAACTTCCCACACTCCTGGAAGGAAACACTATACCAAAGTTCACTCTGGGAAGGACATGGTGAATTAAAACCTAGTGAAACAGAAATCCTAAAATATTGATATTGAATACAATGGAGCCAAGATTTCATTCCATTTCTTTGTTTATAGTCTATGCTGTAGAAATAGAGCTATGAGTTTCTGTCCTGGTTTCAGCCAGGAAAGTTAATTTATCTTTCTAGTGATCCCTGTGAAAGGGATTTCAATAATACCTGTTGTCTTTAGTTGTTGCTAAGTGATGTTTACATTATTCAAGGACTTTTTTTCGGCTTCCCAGAGAAGAATAGATAGACCAATAGAACGGCCAATTAAATACTCCATACCATAGATGTCATCCTCAATATATAAATGGGGGTTGTCCAGGGGGCAGGAATCCACGATCCTGTGGATCCAGTGAGAGCATCTGGTGTTACTATTATTACTGTTATTATTAGTGTTATTTTTGCTTTTCTGATATTGTTCCATTAAAATTCCTTTTTCCCAATCCATGAGGTTTTTTGCCTTTCCCCTCCTTTTCACCCTCTTCTTCCTTGTAGGGGAAAGGGAGGTGAGCGAGCGACTGCGTGGCAGGGGTTAAATTAAAAAAATAATTCTTCACAAGAAGTTTCAGAAGAAAATTTCCATACTTTAAAAAAAAAAAATAAATCTTTTTAACACAGTGCTGCACATTACTTCAGCTTTCTCAATATGACAAATATAATTCTTTCAATGGTGTAAAACATACACATGTAGATTTCCCCAAAGCACTGGTTCATAGTACTATAGGAAAAAAAGAATTAAAACATAATACACACTAGATATTGGAACTGTGCCACTACAGCTTCTGCTCAAAGACTTGTTTCAGTAGCAATAGAGAGTAAATTCCAGAGAAGTCACAAGCTTTGTAAAGACTGAGAAATTTTGGAATTAAAAGTTGCTTAGACTGTATCAAGGCCTCAGTTCAACATGATACTTAGTCGGAAGAATAATTCCATTTCAGTCAACGTACCAATCACTTGCTTGAATGCATATGCCTACATATTCTGTTGAAAATACTTTACTTATTGTTTTTTCATTAAATCATGAAGGAAAAAGGCTTTTGGTTCCCCTTGACTCCCTTCTCTCAGCTGGGTACTTTGTTCATAGTCAAATCAGGCAGCCAAAAAGAATTATTATTATTAGTAGTATTATTATCATCATCACCATCCAAACAAACATATATTGACCACATCAAAGTAAATATTCCAGTGCTTTCTGTTTCATGTATAAACACACTTAGTTGAGTGAACTCTGTGGCTTTTTGCCCCTTTATTATAACTCTCTAATGAACTCAACAGACTTAAAAGATGATTCTATTTCTACTGTCCCATGAAACTCTTACAGACAGTCCCAGGACTACCTTGCTTTCCCTCTTCCTCTCTTCTTGGCTTAGCTCATTCTCTCTGGTCTCACCAAAGATTTACTCTCACTAAAAAGGCACTACCCAAAAAAAATAATCTTTCAGTGTATACATTTTATGTCCTCAATAAAGAACACAAAGAATTTATCTACCTATACCTTATGGTTGTTAAGCAATCTACTGAAATATAAGTATAAAAAAGACACCCCAACTGAACATTATCCCCTAGAAAAAAATGTTTACAATGTTTTAACAAAATAAGTCCAAATTCCCCTGTAATTCAAGACTCAGGACCTCACTGCTACAGACACTTCTCGCAGTAGGAATATCTATCATACAATCAATCTCTCAAAATGAAGTTTGGGTACAACTGTATTACACATTCAGTTAAGTATTTTTAAATCTGTATTTAAAACTCCTTTCCTGAAACCTTATAGACCCATTTCTTTTCTCCTTTAATTAAGAACTAATCCCTAAAAGTAACCTTTGGGCTTGTAACATTAAAGCAGATGCAATCCAATGACACAGACATCTCTGTATTCATTTGCTTGCAGAGACAGATCTATGCACTGTAAATATGTATTATCAAATATCTACAGATAAGCGTTTCTTTATTTCACATCAATAAAGGGAACACACATTTCAACATTCCTTTCTGATATTACTGTTGACGGCCAAATCACATATTTGCGTTACTGACTGACTTAACCCAGAACAAAAAGAGAGCTGCATTATGGTCTGAGAAGTTACGCTCAGCTTATGATGGAATCAGACAGATGGGAAACAAGATATTAAAAGCCACAAGGTGAGCAGACAAAGAAAAGAGGCAGAATTTCAAAAGATTTTTTCTCAAGATAGCACATCAAACATAATCTATTACAATGAGTTCACTGAGTCAATCAATCATTTACATGCAAGTTCAACAAGTGTATATGAATAATAAAGCTTTCCAGGTAACTGGAAAGAGGAGAAAATAACATTTTAATTATATTTTTTTACTTTCTTCTCCCTCCAATTTTGTGTCTGCTTTCCTGCCATGTGTCTTAACGAGGCTTTGACTCTTAGCCAAGTTAATTTTTGCCCCCCTCATTCTTTTTTCACTTTTTCTTAAAGTAGGCATGTAGACTGCCTTTTAGGAACTTTGAGACGTGGGCATTTTACAGCAGCACAGATTACTTAATTTGCACTATACTATTGAACTAGTAACCCAAATATTAACCTATAACTTTGTATAAAAAATCATCCTGGAAAATTTCAGTGCCTTCTGTTGTCAAACAGTCAATAATCTTCCACTTACACCTCTTCTGTATTTCTGGCAACACGGAAAAAAGATTTTTACATAAGAAAAATTTGAACCCAAGCTCACAATCCTCAT